ATCGCGGGATATTGCGATTAATTAGCGAAGAGCGCGCGCCACATCCCCACCTTCGCCGAGATGCATTCAATAAAAATGCGTTTTAGAACAAATTACGCCAACGTGGAAATTGACAGATACAAACTACCGATTACAGGTTATTTTTTATCTGCAACTTGTGTGACTACTTGGAATTATTTTTATAATTGTGGGCTGTAAAAAAGCGCAGGAATTAGCGCAGAAACGCGTTCTCTTAATTGCATCAATAGGAAAAAAAAACATTATCGTTACGTGTAACGATGTGCAAAATAAAATACGATGAAAAAACGAAATCAGTTACGGGGAGGAAAAGGTGAATTTTCGCAGAGACGCGTACTTCCGCTCCGAACGTAGCTCGCTGTGGGTTTTGAAAATGGAAAGTGCGCATTTATATCTCAAGGTATAGACGTGGCTCGGCTTATCGGAGCCGACGCAGCGACGCAGGAATGGCGCGCGCTTCCGTTTCCGCGTAAGTATCGAAACTCACTCAAGAAAGAGTTTCGAACCGGAGATATCGCGGGTAACTCGAGAGCAAATCGACGTTCCTGCGATTGTAACGACGAGCCGAGATTAGAAATCTCACCAGCAGCGGCATTACGCGCCTCATTTCCATCTCCCCCTGCAAGAGAAACTCTTCTCCTTCTTTAATTATCTAACGTTCCCCCCCATTCGCCAGTTGAAAATGATAATTCCGTCATTATTATCGTGCGTATTATTCGCGCGTTTCCGCGTATTAATCGCTACTTTAAACATTTGATATCTAAACTTTGAGTGACGAAATGTGCTACGTAGAAGTTTTTTTAATTTAAACAAATTAGAAGATCCCATTACTATTAAGAGTGCGTATAATTTCAAATATGTTGCTAAAAATGTTACATTTTAATACAGCGCAAATACATGTCCGTTATTAAAATTAATGTCGAGTCCAAGACACCTCGCATGAAAATAAGAATAGAAAGGAATATATTTCGGCGTATCACCGTCGTCGCGGAGGACAGATGTAAAAGCCGATACGCGCAGAGAGTTCACATGCAAAAGAAGCGCGGGTGATCCATCAGAATCAGACAGCAGCCGTCTTCTTTCACTGCGCTTCAGAGAAAGAGAGAGAAAGAGAGATATGAGATCGGCAGAAAATCAAGATGGACCGTGGACGGGGTGGTGTCCGGCCGATCTCTGGCGCGATTACCGATAACCGTAGCCACGTGAACGAGACGGCGCACAAGCGAGAGATAGCGGACGCGGACCGATGTACATATATATACGAACGATATTCAGTTCAGTTCTCGAATCCGTGGAGAATCTCTTTCTTATTCCCCACGAAATAGAGAATACTGTGTCGATATAGAAGTAAAATATACTCGTGCCGTTTCAACATCTTCATTTTCTTTTATTTCTGTTTTTATTTTTATTATTGCATTCCAATTTATTACTTTTTGCTCGACACGTTTGTTTAAAATTATTGTTTAAAAAGAAGTCGAAATTTTCAGAAGTAATTGAGAAAAATTGACCGATTTCACAGAGCTCGCGGTTTGTACTTGAAAATTTTTTTTACATAGATCGCTTTTCACATTTCGTCACTTTTGGGCTCAGGTGTGGCTATGTTCTTTCCTTACAAGAGGGCTGAAAGGAACCCTTACTAGGGATATATATATATATATATATATATATATATATATAGAATGTTTCCCTTAGGATGCATACCTGTGCGGTTAGGGACGACCGAATCCGATTCTTAGAACGTCGAAATCTTGTATTTAAGATCTGACTATGAAAACACTTCAATCAAGTCAACGATTTTTTGTGATAACTGCGAAAGTTATTTTTTAATATTTGGTGTTGGCAAAATATCCGACCCTATTTACTATAAATAGATCTTTAGCACGCAAAAAGATATTATTCTAAAAAAAAAAACGATTAGTCGGTTTATTTTCTTTTTTAGTATCTAATGATTGAGTCCTCTAAAATATTGTATGTAAACTTATTAGGATTCAGAAATGTATTTTGTGATGTGTGAAAATATATTATAATAGAATGGCAAAATTATACGATGAATAATACGGAAAATTAATGGAGGAGCGGGAATTTATTCGAGCCGATGTGTTTTACGGACGCGACCCGTCATTGCACTTCGAATTAATTTAAAAAAAATGTTAAGTGTCTAATAAACATGTAGTTTTTTTCTCTTCAACTCTAGAGAAAGAAAGAGAGAGAGAGAGAGACACTCGAGAACGGAGAGTTTGCACGTGAGTGAACATATATTGGCAATTATTTGTTAAGACATATTATAGTCGAGTCTTTGCATAGAAAATCAGCAACTTTGCTGGCACTCGGCGTGTCAACACTTAGCGTGGTTCCATGAATTTTCATGAGTTAAATATTCATGACATAATTTATTTCATAATAATATGTGCGGTAAAAGCGCATTGTGTATTCCGAAAAATTCTTGCAAACGAATCGAATAAAAAGCGAAGCTGATTAACCACTTTGAAAGAAAAAAAAAACTAAATTTAAACAACCATGAAGGCCACTTTGACACGCGACTCTCCACTTCGAAAAGTCGGAGCCACGTTGGAGCATATTAAAATATGCGATCGATAATTGGGAGTGTATAATGCGCTTTCTCATTTATAGCGAGAGCCAGAAATCTCAGATTGGCAGACCACGATATGCCGCGCGATATTTGATATTTTTCACGGTCTTTATAAATTTTTTTTTTTTTTTTTTTTGTATACAATTTTTTATATTATTCGCGAAGCATCGGGATTTGCATTTTTGAAATAAAGCGAAACGGAAATTCTCGTTCTCCTCCCGTTTCCCCAACTGAAACCGTACTATTTGTAACGGTATGAATTTAATTATCGAGTTCTGGATATTTTCCAACGAATCTAAGCATCGCGAGCCGGATCAAGAAAGTTTCGAGAGAAGCACCGCGTGTTAAACCGGTAGAAGCGAGATTACGAGTATAGATGTAACAGCGCGATGCGGATGTTACATTCTCTCTTTCTCTTTCTCGTCGAGAACGTGGTTCCGAAATTCGTGCGGAGCCCCGGCAATTGCGCGGAAACGAGCGCGCGAGTTATCCCGAGGTCAAAATTTCGGAGTCAATAATACGACGCGCTGGAATTTGGTCGAACGAAATTGGATCAAATTTCGAGCGCGACCGCGCGACGCGCGCTCGGCTCCGTCTAACTTAGTGCGGGAAGACACGCCGATTCTGCGCAGCTACGCAGTAGCGCGCTGAGACAATCGGTATAAAGAATTTCTTTCGGATCTTATATCCTCCTCTCTTCCTCGTGCCCTCGTGCACGCGCGTTTCTCTTTCCGCCTTTCCACATTCGTACTCTCTCGTCGTTCTCTCTTTCTCTCTCCTGTACGCGCTCCTCTTCAACGCGCGCGGTTAAAACAAGATTACTCCGACGTGCGTATACGTACATGTACGTACGAACACACACCTACACGTTAACGCGCTCGCTAAAGTTTCACAGTGTTGGTACGCTCCGACGGAAGGAACGAGATCACAAGAGACGGTCGAGAGAGAGATACTGCGAGCGACAGTCGGGGAAAAGCGGGAGGGAAGCGGCTGACTAAAACCCCTCCATCCGCGAGCGCCGAGCGTGATAGTCAGCAGGCGATGCGCGACCAAATCTAACCTAACTCCATTGCCGGTTCTCCAGCAGGCAGCAGGCGAGCGAGCGAGTAGGCGAGTAAACAGGCTGGGTCGCTAGGCGGCGAGAACGGAACGAAGACAGAGTTACGGTCATATGGGAAACGATAGGGTAGAGAAGACGAGGGGCGGGAAGGGGTGAGAAGGGAAAATGCGAGCATGCGCGCCGAAGCGGTTTATCGAGCCGTGGAGAGGGAAGTACGGCGGCCTCGTCCGCCGCCGCCGCCGCCGCCGCCGTCGTCGTCATCGTCGTCGACGGTCGCGGTGGCGGTGGCCGCGGTGGTGGCGACGTGGCACCGTACGAGGAAACGGGACGGCATGAACCTCCGGGACCCGCGGGAGAGAGAAGACGAGAACAGAGCGAGAGGAGCGACGACGAGCCCGTAAAGGAAGAACAAAGACGGAGAGAAACATATCCGGCTGGTGCGAGCGAGATGGCGCCGCGAGCGAGATGTTCGAACGGCGCGATAGAGGGAGACGGGAAACGCGTGGTAGTGGGAGGACAGGGAAGGAAAAAGCGGAGTTATCTGGCAGACGCGCAAGCGAGACGATACAACTCCGAAACGGAAAGAAAAAGAGACGAAGCGCGCGACGACGGCGGGAGCGAGAGGGAAACGTGTAGCGGGTGGCTGGGGAAAGGAACGCGGCGAATATCCCGCGGATGCGAGCGAGAGGGGTGCTTCGGCGTGATGGAGAACGTCGGAATGTGACGGAGAGAGAGAAATAGAGAGAAAGAGCGAGTTACATGCGAGGGCGATATCGCGAGCGAGACAAACGCGCGAGCTGCCGGTGAAATACGGCAGCGAGGGAGGGACGGAAGCAAGAGCGAGGGCGCGAAGGGGAGTACGTGGCCGATGGAGGGGCTTTGCTGGAACGGGAGAGGGGGGAGAGAGGGGCGCTGCCGTCGGACAGTCGCTGTCGCGCCAGGCCCCCGCTAGCGGCTAACAAGCAAGCAGCAAGCAGTTGCAATCCCGTCGCCTAACCAGCATCGCTCGCATTACCTCTTCACCCTCTCTCAAAATTCGCATTGAGGCTTCCGTCAGCTGCAT